AATAACCTCCTTTATAGACCCTGCTCTTGTGTTTTATCTCAGCCATTATCATCCTGAGCTACATCTCTGAGCAGGGAGAGAAGGTGGCGTTAAGACAACTTATCTATCCATTGATCTCACTGACCGATCTGTTAAGGTTTCACTCTTGTAGCTATGGGCCTTCCAATAAATTGGATAGCAAGCGCAGTATCCTCAGGAGCTCTGGGTGAGCTTCCTGCATTTCTCTCATTTGGAAGTAAAATCAGGCATTTCTCCTGTATTTCTCTCATTTGGAAGTATCTCTATTTGGATGGACGGACAGGCCGACACTTCTTTGTTTGGCTGATCTCTTTGCTACAGCTTTTATATAGCTATTATCACAATTGCTGGGGGTGGCATTGGGTGTCATCCTCAGGGATGGGATGTCATCCTCAGGGGTGTAGATGCAGGGATACCAAAAGATACCATTGCCCTAGGTCACCATTTGCTCACAAGCCACCGAGCCATGAAAGGCTTCCCTACTGGGGCCTGGCCTGACCCCAATAACCTGTCTCTGTCCCCAGGATTTTCCAGCTGAGGCAGCCTGGCTTCCCTCCAGACCCTCAGAGCTTGAGTTTGGGTTTATAAATCCCAGTCTTCCTGAGTGCTGAACCCAGTGGCACCATGGGGCATGCAAGGCCTTAGCACCCTGCAGGAAGGAGCCCCTGAAACCTCAGGTCACAGCTGGGAACCTCCACTGTGCTGTTTACACTGAGGATCAGGCGGTTACTCATGATCCAGATCACAAGTGAGTGACGATTCGTTCTGGTACTTCAGCCCACATGGGAGGGGAGCTGAGCTCTGCACAGCTCTTTAATTGAAAGCTCTGTCTTTACAGCATCTCTGTCTCCTACAGAGGCAGGAGCAGTGTCCAGGTTTCAGGGGTGCTGCGGGCTTCTGGTCTATAAAGGAGGAAACCCTGGACAGGACCCCTGATGGGCTGTGATGGGAAACCTCCAAAGGTTCAGCTCAGGTCTGATTTGGAGAAGCACTCAGACATGCAAACGCTGGTCCAAGATATTCAAGGACTCTGCAAAACAGGCTGGTCAGATTTCCCGGGGCTTCCTGCAGCAGTGGCGGCTGGAAATACTTGAGGCATTCGTTCTGGTTTGCTTTTGCCAGGGTTTTTGGGTCCCGGGCAGAACCCAGAAGGGCAGAAGCACGAGAGCGAAAAAGAGCTGGAGAAATTATTTCTGCTGCCTCGACTACTCCAGCGTCAGCCATCTCTGCAGTCCTGAACCAGAAGCCAGGCCCCAAAATCAGGAGATCAATTTAAAAATCACGAGCTAGGGTTGCTTTTGTGCCCTGGGGCTGCCAGGGTTGAACGCAGGGGCCACATTTCCAAGCTTTTCTCTGTGCTCAGTGGGCTGCGAACTTCCTGAGCTGTCTTTCAAGTGTAAGGTGCGGCTCTCACAGGCTCACATGACTCCAGGAGTGTCGGGCTTTAAGAAAACACGACCTGGGACGAGAGCTGGTGACGCAGAGGGCGACTGCACCCCCTTGCTCTGCTCAGCCTCACCAGCCCGACTGCCCTGACTTCTCTTCATCCATCCTATAAAACCCAGCTCCCCTCTCAGCCCTTCGTTCTCTGGCCTGCCCTCACCCGCCTTGGCTACTGCATCTCGCCTTCCCCCATGGTTGCCTTCCTTCCTCCACATCCCGGCTGCCTCTTCACGAGCTCTGGACTTTTAACAAAAGCTTGCAACTGAAGAATATTTTTGCAAAAATCTAGTTGGTCTAATAAAAGGACATCACCTCTACCACGAGTCCTGGGACTTTTAATGAGGCTTTTTCACCATTCCCTTATTGGGATGAGCCCTCTCAGAGCTCAATGGGGGCCAGGGTGTTTCTGCTTCCTCGGCTCTATCTGTGCAGGGAGAAGGACCTCGCTGGGTCAGCTGAGTCTCCCCAAGAGGCCGTGCTCCCAAGGGACAGCTGCACTGTCCAGCTCTATTAGGTGAGCTCCAGAGACAAACATTTGTATTATGATCATCATAAAAGAGAGGCCTGGCCTCATCATGCAGACTGGGACGGGCTGCAGCTCCCTGCCAGACAAGAATTAGGATTATAGTGAGCAGGGCTGGTGGAGGGGGAGGTGTGTGTGCATGGGGGTAGGGTTGTTTCTTATTAAACCTCGGTGACAGCAGATCAGGCCATGCATTAATAGCTGAAGCGCTTTAAAAATAGCAGAGCTTTTCTCGCCGGGCCCCAAGGAGGGCGTGTTGTTTTGCTCTGCACGTCAGCGGCTCCTCTGCAAGCCGGGAGAGCGTTTCTCTGCAGCCTCTCCTCTCCGGGCCCATTTCCCTTTTCTTTTTTTGTCTCCCTCCCTTCTTCTTTTCTTTCTTTTGCTCGTCTTCCTACCTCCGGCCGCTCGGCCCAGCCAGCCAATCGCAGGCCTAGTCAAGCTGCGCACCATATAAGGAGAAAAAACACGGAGGAAACCCTGAGCACGCATGTACACACACGTGCACACACGCCTCGGTCACCTGACTAGCAAACAACGCGGGGCAAAGTGAACTTGGTTGCTGTCGTTTCTTCCCCGCCACTTTGTTCTCTTTATTCTCTGCAGGGCGAGGAGGGGGATCGAGCCGGTCGGGAACCATCTCTGGTGTGTCCGAGTTGAAAACACAGGACGTGGCGACTCTTCAGCACGCGTGTCCATGTCACAGATGGTGAAAGACCCCTCCCCCCCATGTCCCCCTGTCTCTGAATGCATGCCCTTTCCTTGCAACTTGTCTGATTGCATTGTGAAGCTGTCAGGGGGAAACGGATGATTTCAGCATCCATCTGAGCTCCTGCAACAGGCGTCTTGCAGGCAGCACCATGGAGACAACAGGCGTATCCAAGCAAGGTGGGGATGGGAGTCCTCGTACCACCATCTTTATAGCAGCATGGACTTTGCAGGCGAAACCCATTGGCTGATGGCTGCGAGTCCTTCTTAGAGACGTGCGGGCACGGAGTCAGCCTCACCTGCAAAGATCCTGCGTGTGTGTGCGTTTCCCACTTCTCCACCCCCAAAGGACCCCGTTGGTCTAAGATCAAAGCGAGTCAACAATTTTAGCAGCAAAATTCAACCCTGGGGGCTACCGCAGGCCTGGCCAGCGCCGGCAGGAAGGAACGGGGGAGCCGAGACACGCGTGCTAACCCTATTACATGAGACACATGTGCTAACCCCATGTTATGTGAGTCACGCATGCTAACCCTGTGTTACATGAGACACGTGTGCTAGCCCTGTGTTACATGAGATATGCGTGCTAACCCCATGTTACTTCAGACACGTGCTAACCCTGTCTTGAGACGTGTGTTAACCCCATGTTACGAGATGCGTGCTAACCCTGTGTTACATGAGACACACATGCTAACCCCATGTCACGTCAGATGCGTGCTAACCCCGTGTTACATGAGACACGTGTGCTAACTGCATATTACGCGATGCTGCTTTTTAATAAGCCTGGTGCAGCCCTGAGGGAAGTGGCTCCAGGGTTTGGATATAGGACTCCCAGCGGTGGCAGAAATCCTGGGTTGGGAGGGAAGGAAAACGATAGGGCTGTTTTGTGGCAGGGGAGCAGGGGTCCCCCGAGAAATAAAAGCTGAATTTCTCCAAACCCCCCCTCCCCCCAATCCAGTAAAAATTTCCACAAAAAATGTTGAATTTTTATCCTCTCAAAAAGGTGGAAGGAAGAAAACAGCCCCCAAATTCATCCTCACAGCAGACGCGCTTCAGGCACGGTGCTCTCTCCAGGAGGCCGTGCTCCCTGCCAGATGCCGGCCACCATCATGCCCCATGGTCCCCCTTGCTGGTGAGGGATGGGAGTGTGTCCCAGCCATCGCAGTGCTGCTTTGTGGGTCACACCAGCCCAATTCTCCATCTGAAAAATGCCCCCCTATTGTTTCAACCAGGTCCCTGTTCTCTGAACCCATGCGCGGCTCATCCCCAGGGGACGGGGTCTACAGATCAGGGCTCACCATTACTGTGGGCGGTCGCTGAGGTCAAATGAGCTATGTTGGCCACTGTTCCTCTTGCGTTGGCAGCGCCTTGACTGGGCTGGCATGGGGAGCAGGGGCAGGATGCTCATGTCTGCTCAGTGTGTCCTCCCCCCGGAGCCCAGCCTCCACGGGAGCTCATCCAGCCTTTCCCAAGGTGCTAAATGGCCGAGGATTTCCCCACACATGGTCTGTAAAGAATGATGGAGGCCATCTTGGCCAAGGCATCTTAGTCCTCACAAGTCGCTGTACCTTGAGCTAAGGGGCCTAACGAGGCCGTGAGAGGCGCGCCTCCTCGGACACCATGAGGAACCCATGATACGCGCTCATTAGCATGCGCTGGAGGACTGTCCGGTCACGTGGCACCAACTAATTCCTAGCTTCTAAATCCCATTACCAGGTGGTTCAAATGGCCCTTTGCCACACGAACCCTCACCGCTGTGGCCCCAGGAGTGTTACGTGGTGGTAAGGGGAGGAGATGGTGGATGGGATTATACCGTGGCCCATGCCGCAAGAGTTCGGTGATGCTTCTGCATGGCCCGTGACTGCATCCAGACCTTCCAGAGCTAAAAACAGCATCGGCGGCTGAAGCTTTGGCAAAAGGGAAAATGCTGCAGCTGGTACAGACTCATATCCTATGTGGATCGGGGGGGTAGATCATCCAATAACCTCCGTTCACCGGTGGGCTCCACTTAGGCACTTCAAAATCCATCCGGGTAAACTGGCTCCCTGCCCTAAGGACACTTTGAAATGTTCCAGTCACATTAAGAGGCTTTTAGATGGATAGAGATTGGATTTAAACCCACATGAGGGTCCCATCACGCCGCTAAAGAGATGTAAAAGGGCTTTGGCATAAATAAGCATCAGACCCAAGGCGTTGAAATAGAAACCTTCCACACTCTGCAATTATATCTCACCAAAATGGTTTATGATGATAAGCTTTTGGTAGGTAATTTCCTATTCTTCCAGCCTCTTTCAGCCTCCCTGGCTGCCATTGCATTGGAGAAGGGAAAAATAAATCCAGCGCAACATAAACAGTTGTGACTCACACCAGCAGGGCTCTCAATCTCGCGGGGTGGGTGGATAAATGCAGGTTTCTGACGTGACGGCTCCTATTTGCCATGCAGAAGGATTTCTCAAAGTTCCTGATGAAGGAAACAAAATGCAGGAGGGATTTCGCCGGTTTGCAGCGTGGAGCACATGGAAAAGATGGGGCGAGATGGGTTATTTCTGGAAGGGGGTGGGAATCGCTCCCCCACAGACTCCAAGCAGTGACAGGAGAAGGTGGTTGATTAATTCGTTTCCAAATGCTTTTGGAAGGGAACCGGAGTGTCTTGAGCTCCTCTGTCTGCATCAGCAGCGTTGTGAGAGCTGGATGACTTGATTGTGTTTTGTGTTTCCTAGACAAATAGTTAATTTGCTAAAAATACAGTGTTTCAGGCCCCAAAGCGATTTGCAAATGTGGGTCAAATCCGGCAAGTCATTTTGAGAGAAGGAAAAGGGGAAACGTTTCAGGAAAAACATCAAACCTTTCATTTGAATATATCCTAAACAAAATGTTTTGATTTTTCAGTCCCATGGAGATTTTTTTTTTTCCCCTTTCAAAAATAAGCTACTGTAATTGCTGGCTTGGCTTTCTTGCAGGGAGGGGTAGAGGGAAATGACCTAATTACCCTCTTTTCTGATTCTCATGGACTATATCTGTTAAGCATATATAACTTAGGGAGGTATAGGGAAAG